TAGATAGATAGGTACATACATACATGCATACATACATACATACATATATGATAGATAGATAGATAGATAGATAGATAGATAGATAGATAGATAGATAGGTACATACATACATACATGCATACATAGATAGATGATAGGTAGGTAGGTAGGTAGATAGATATGATCTCCATGAGTTGTCAGCGACTCGACGGCAGTGAGCTTGCTTTTTGTTTTTCTAGGTCGCCTTTGCCTGGCATCCCATCCCGACTCCTAACAGCGCTGTGAGACAGGATAGAACAGCCCCTAGAGCTTACTAGGCCGACCAGCTCTAGGAAAGCAGACTGCCACATCTTCTTCATGTCGATCCAGGAGTGGGTTCAAATCATGGACCATTTTTTGGTTAGCATCCAAACGCTTTGTCCAGTGCGCACCAAGGACTGCTTCCCCACCTCCGGCTTCCTCAACTCATAACTGAAACACTGAGTCAGCTCGTAGTTACCTTTCTGTCTCTGGGTATTTACATAATTAGTATTTTACCGTGGGGTTTTCATCTTTATTTAACAATGGACAGATAGTTCTTGCCCCCACCTGTCACACACAAAATCTGTGTCCCAGACCTTCATTCTTGGCATCTTATTTGTACCAGATGCTGTCTCATTCTGCCGCAGGACCCTCTGTATGGTCCAAGCAACTGACAAAGGCAGCTACCTTCCTGGCTGGGCCAACTCCTTGAAGTCAGGAACTTGAATTTCTTCCCCAGACGCAAAGGCAGAGCTCTTCCAGGCACCTCCTCTGCCAACCAGTTCTTGCCAACAAGTGTCCAATTAGAGCTGAGGGCACGTCTGCCTTCGAAAAGAGGAACATGAAAACGTGTTAACCAAAATAAATTCATCCTGACAACTCCATGGCCATTCTGGTCCATAGGTTTCTTTGGTTGATTTTGGGAAATCAATCACCAATCCCCAGACCTTTTTGTCTTGATCTGTGTTTGTCTGTGAGCCGTACTGAAACCTGTTCAGCATCAGAGCAACTTGCAAGTTTGAGGTGCACTGCCTGCTCACCAGACCAGTCTCCTGCTTGGAGGATGAGAACTTTACCACGGAAACGCCACTGCCCTTGGCAGGTGTCTCCTATCCTCTCTCATTTATGTTTTGACCAAGTTTGACCTGCAGGTGAATTTTGTTTGGCTCACTGTTGGCTCCTTATTTTAAAAAGTGAAATTGCTCACACAAAATTTGGGTCTCTGGTAAATCTGGAAAAATCAGAACACAAACTACATGGGAACCACATCCCCACATACACACTTAGAAGAGAGACAGGCTCTTCCCATGGTTCTTAATTTCTTATACGTGGCCACCTCTTTCTCTGGTGTTACTGACATAGGCATGGAGTTTCAGCCCTGACATATATGTATATCAACTCTACTCAAGGAATAGTCAGAGTAGAACTTTCTGCTAGGGTCTCCAAGGCTGGAACTCTCTGAGCAGTCCCTATCAAATCTAATCATCCATTTAATCAGCTCCCTATCCCCAAATCTCAAATTAGGTGTATTTGGGAGTTAGAGCCTTAGAGGCAAGGAAGTCCAGTTTTTTCATTTCCCACACGAGGAGACTGGGAGCAGAGAGGCTCATCACACTGAAACAAGTACCAAAAGGGGGGGAGGGGGAAACTGATTCAGAAAACAGACAGACAGCTGTGCTCCCTCACTCTAGGATAGGGGCAGGCAGCATTTGTCTCAGAGATAAGGGCTCTTTTGTTGGGGAAAATAATCAGGGAAACTTCATGTCAAAAGTATTCAAGTGTCCAACTGATGAATGAACAAAACGATAGATCCATTTAATGAAATAGTATTCAACAATAAAAAAGAATGAGGTATTGATATGTGCTATAGCCTTGATGAATCTAAAAAACATTAAGTAAAAGAAGTGAAGCATGAAAGAATAGGATATTATATGATTCCATTTATATAAAATATCCAGAATAGGCAAATCCCTAGAACATAGGTTAGTGGTTGCCTAGGGACAGGGAGGTAGAGAGGAATACTGCATGACTCCTAACAGGAGTAAGATTTCTTATTGGAATGATGGAAATATTAATGAAAATCAAATGACAGTGATGGTTACACAACTCTGTATATATACAGGAGTACTTCAAAAAGTTTGTGAAAAAATTCAGTTTTCTTTTACTTACATTTTTCCACGTACTTTTTGAAGCACCCTTATATTAAAAACCATATTAGATATATTGATACAACAGTAATTTAATTATATATTGTATATAGCATGGAATATAACTTACACTATATCTAAATAAAAGGATTTTTTGTGTGTGTTATTTTAAAGTGGGGAGGCCCTGGCAGGCACAGCACTCTGGATGACACTAGTTACCAAGTTGGGCTCAGAGCAAGAGCCATTAGCTTTCACCCTTGTCTCTGTGTGCCCATCGTGCTGCCTCTCTCCAAAGATGACTTCCGCTCACTGCTCTCCAGTCCCAGGTCTGGGCACAAGGTGACTCTGGGTTCCTGCGTAGGTCCTGATTTTCTCTACCTTACAATTGTTAAGTTTCCGGAGTGGGTAATACCTCGGTTCTTTGCTTCACAAGATGAAAGAGCTCACGCCAAAGCCCGTTTTATAATCCAAGTGGGTTTTTATGAAGGACAGGACAAGTTGCAGGTTTTACAGTCTCAAAGGGGTTCACAACCGGGCAGGAGCAGCCTCGTGGAAAAGAGCACCCATGTGTGCAGAACTAGGGGGGAATCCAGGGACCAAGTTGTTAAAGGAGCAAGGGGCAAGAGGGCAAGGGCCCAAGAGAGAGTCCCCCACAGCATGCTCCCTGCTTTTATTCTAGTCCTTCCCCCAACACTCCCCACCCCGCCTCTGCCCCCGCTGGGGGAAGGCATAGTTGAAGGTATTGGTTGACCCCATTGGCTAGGTTGAACCCACCAGGGTGATGTCATAAACCTGGGCCTAGTTTGGACCTCCCAGATTTATCTCCCACCTGGCTGGGGGTTTGAGTGTGAGCATGCTCAGTTTGGGATCGTCATAGGTGTCTAATGGTTGCTGATGTCTTTCTAACGTCTTTTATGGGGGCCTTTGCAGGCATGGGAGGGACAACCCCACCCCCATCCTGCCGCCCCCGTCCCTAAATCTAGCTACCTAACACAACCTGTCGTTTCATTTAATCACCTCTTGAGGAAATGTCAGGGAGTCACATCAGACCTCTGGTTGCCTTAGAGGGAAGGACACTCCGACTACACTAGCCCAAGACTGGTTGCCACAAGGTGGCAGTCAGACATGCCTCCACCCTCTTTCCCTGTTCTGACACCAACCGTTCCTCCTACAACACTCCTTCCCTGCTGGGTTCAATAATCCAGTGCAATAGTCACACAATATACATGATTATGGGGGAAGGGTTATTAGGGAAGTTAATAGGTTATCACAAGTCAGTATCAGAAAACATTAAGAATATAGTCCTTTATCCACAGCAGGGCCTCTTCTCGGCCATGCCAACAATTATGTCTTTCACACCTGGTCTTTAGCCTCTCAGCCATGCAACCCACTGGCCTCTGCCCAGCTTGGGAAAGCATTGCCAAGCTCCTTGAAGCACTGACAAATGCCCAAGGGCACCCCACTCTTCAAGCTAGCCTCCTGCACAAAGACACTCAGCTTTACTTGTTTCATAAGCTGGGAAGCCCACTGCTCTGACTGATATCTTGGCGCTGTGGCCTCTGGTGCCTCTGCCACTTGAGGCAGGGATCTTGAACATGCACCAGTTAGCG